TTCAAAGTGTTTCACTCTTAATGGAGTCCTATTTAATTCAAGAGATATGGACTAATCATCCAGTAAATTTAAGGCCACCAAGGAAATACTCAGGTGGGCATTAGAAACATGTAAATAAAGGAATATGTGAAATCAAGACTATAAAATGAGCCTTTGGTAACATTTGGCATCTGTATTTCAACTTTACAAGGCATTCACACTTTGTTGAAATCTTTTGTTGGTGGCCCAGTCGGATCAGGAATTTCTTCTCTAAATTATCAGCCAAGCTTCTTAAACTGGCTCATTGCATTTATCTAATGAATACAAGGACAATATTTCCTGAACCTCCAGACCAGTGTCAAGAAGTATAGACTAGAAATTCCACTTTAAGGGCTAATATTAGATTCTTTAGATCAGACAATAACCCTGATGTTTCCTATTCAGCCAAATAACATAGTGGGAGGTGTTGTGTTAACCTACACTCCAGATTCTTAGTTACCTCAGATTCACATCACCCTGCTTGCAAACCAGTATTTCAAGCATGGCTACATTGTTAAGAAAACAATGTTCTGTACAGAAGTTTCACTGGGCCAAATTCAAGGGGGTTTGGGGGGACTTTTTAATGGATTCATCAGACAAAGGCTCCATTTTATTTGGGTTCAATGGTATGTATGGTACACAGATCTACTTTCAATTTAAGGCTGCATCGCAAGGAAAGAAAGGACATTTCTTGTCATGACTTTGCTTTAGTTAATTATTTCATCCCACAAATATTTTCATGAGCTGAAGCCAGAAATGTCACCCTGCATTCTTATCACCTGTTTCCAGCAAAAGGCAGCAACAGGAAGTAGCATCTGCCCACCCTTGGCTGATCACAAAAATGCTATGCAGGGTCAGACATGGTAATTAGATGGGAGGTTACCGGTGTAAAGGCATCAGTGTACCAGTGTAAAGGGTGGAAGGCAGAGACTATTTTACTCTTAAAATAATGTATTTACCTTTATCTTTAATCATTCTTCAGCCATAATTGTCTTATATCACCAGCGAGATGGCACTAGCATATGCCAAGCAACACTTAAGAATGACCCATTCCAGTCCAATTCAAAAGGTCATTACAGCAATGAAGGTTACCACTGATAGATATTTCTGCCCTAAGCTTATTCTCTTGAATATGTTTCAATATTTTCTTGGGAACGTACATCTAAAACATATAATGGTACTTCCTACCATTAACTCTGGAGTTTACATGATTCAACATGCTGTCAGATAAGGCTTTTATTATGCAATCACCTTACCCCACTCACAAAAAAATTATGGGGAATTCAAAAGATGTTATCTTTTATTGTAACCTCCCACATTTTTCCACTGGAGATTTATTGGGCTAGAAACTGTTCATCTGCAAGCACCCAATAGACTCAGTGTAGGACTGTAAATCCCATGGATGCCTTCATGATAGACCAACCTAAAGAAACATATGTTATCTAAGTTGGGCAGCAGACTTCATATGAAACACTCTATGTTTAAAAGACATTTTTGTGTGAAAATATTTATCTTTTGGGAGTATCTCAATGTAACCAAGTAGTTTTCCCCTATGTATTTGGTATACGACTACAGCATTCTGGCTGTGTCAGTGAAATTTAAATGTTTAAATATGAATTGCAAAAAGGTTCGTTGGAGACAGTTGAGAGAGGATTAAAGCTGGCAAAGGGATCTCAGGGTTAAACAAACATGTCAGGTCTTTGTAAGTCTGCTGGGAAACCATAATAATGACTGAGGAGAGCATGAATCAATAATAAAGTTCATTGGTTGACTAGTCCAGTCACCATTCTCAGAGTGATAATCTATGAGGAGAAAAAATGGTTCTTGCAGAAAAGGCACCTTTTCACAGTGTCCTAGTTATTCCAGGCTTGTCAAGCCTGACAAGCAATATTAGGAAAGTACTGCAATTTATTGGAATTCTCTGTGCTGATTTATGATGCCTCACATGCAATAAACACTATATCTAGATTTAGGTTCTCACCAGGATCATGAAAATTATTTTGTAATCCCATATATGTGGCACAAGTTTCTCATATCAGTGTCTTATTGGCCACAATAAGTTTTTTTTTTCAAACATTGTTTGCCTTTTGGGTGGGGGGGCATCATTCTTATCCTTCTCTCTATACTGAGGACCAGGTGATACCATAGTGCTCAAAATGCTAAACAACAGCAAGATCCACAGTTTAAAAAAATACTCATCCACATAAATAAATTGGCATCATCACAAAACCATCTAAAATGCCAGGTCTCTCTGCAATAAGACCCTGTCCATTCATAATCTAATGGACAAGTACATGGATCTGGCATTATGTTGATGAAGATTCTCAGTCATCCAGGTGGAATTATCTGGAGGTTGAGTCATGGCAACTGGACTTCTTTTCTTTTGGTTTGATACGTTTTGCTGCTTGTCCAAGCAGCTTCTTCAGTTTAGAAAGTTGGCTAGGCCCCTATGTGATCTGAATGTGGAGGGTATCACTGTCAACCTTTTACCATGTGCAGATCACTTCCTGGTTCAAATGTAACTGTCATCTGTGACCTCTGTAGTGATGGACGTATTCAAATTGTCCCCCTACCCCCCAGGTATCTCATGGATCTGGATGGCTTCTGACAGATGCTTGGGGATTTTCCTGACAATCCGGTAGGTGAATCCATTGAGGACCTGGTTCACTGTTGGCAACATGAGATGACCTAAAATTGCCCCCAAGCAGCCTTTCACTGTTGGCTGATCCTTCATTTAGCAAGGGTCCCTGGAAGATGAATTGGCAGAAGCAACACATAGAGTGCTGGTGGAGAAAGACAAGAAGTGAATGTGACCATTCATGGGTACACGCCCATGTTCTATTCCACGGCAATAAGAGAGGTGAAACATCTTTACTTCTTCTTATTGCATTGGCGTGTTGTCACCCAGCATAACATGTATTTTGGGCAGCCAATTCCCTGTAATGGAAGATCCAGCACCAAGATCCGCCAAGCCACTGTGTTGAATTACTTGCAACAATTCTGCTGGTGAAGTCAAATCTTGACTCCATATAAGCAGGATCCAGGGCATCATCTTGCTTGGTTGTCTGGGATTCCTTCTGACCTGTGACTTTTTGCGAAATGGATAGGATGCTCTCTAGGAAGTCCTCTGCCACTTACATGCTGGACCCCTACCATCATCAACTGGAATTTCCTAGATCTGTGAGACTGTATAAGGAATGTAGAGCAGACTTTGGGAATGGGAAAGGAAGGAATAAGACACTAAAGGGGGACTTTCAGAAAGAATGAAAGAGTGCTGAGAAACAGGAAAAGCGTTCAAGATTCTGTTATTCTACCATACAACAATGAAGAGCCTTCTTTGAATTCCTAAGGTGCCTGTTTCTTGACAGGCCTACCACAAAAGGCTGACAGATCGCTAACACCTCCATACATGAGGGAACCTGCTAGTGGGCTTGAAGGAGGGATTCACGAGTGTTAGACAATTATCGCCAGGCTCCAATCTTCCCTTTTGGAGGAGGTTGCCGACACAGTGGTGAAAAGTCGACTGAAAAGCACCCTAGAGGAAGCAGATTAGGGTTGAGGCTTGGACGTGGAATGGAGACAACATTGGCTACCCAGTGGGTAGGGAGTGAGAAGGGCAGGTTGGCCCAGTGACTATTCCATTGTGTGATCCCGCAGGGGTCAGTCCTCTCCCCCTTCCTATTTAACATCTACATGAGGATCTCCTGGCAGGTTTGGTATTATCAATATGCTCATTAATACCCAGATTTGGATTGCTACTCCAGGTAAGACTAGTGATACTGCTGATATCCCACTCCAGTGCCTGGAGGCTATGAGGGTCTGGATGGGAGACATCAGACTTATACTGAATTCTAACAAGATGGGTTTGTCCATTGGGTTCTTTGTCTGCTCCAGTGGTGTTTCTTGGCAGGGTGTCCTGGACTCATGAACTCACTGTCCTGGACTCATTGCTCTTGCTGGAAAAACAGGTGGAGGCCACAGTTGGGGGTATTTTGTCCAGTTTTGGCTGATATGTCAGTTGTGGCCTTACCTCAGATGGTAGCAACTCATGTGCTCATCACTACCCATTTTAGACTAGTACAATGCACTTTGTGTGGGATTGCCTTTAAAACCACTCGGTGGCTGCAGTGGGTTCAGAGTGCAGCAACCTGTGTGCTAGATAGCATGTGCCAGTGGGAGCACACGTCTCACCAGTCCTGCTGGCACCATCAGCCTTTTGAATTAGGCCAGGTGAAGGAGACACCATAAGGATTCCAGGAATGTTACTTTTTCATTGTAAGGTAAAATAATAGAATCTTGAAAGTCTGTCCCAGTTGCTTTCCTTCCAGTAGAGTGATACCATCTTGGCTGGGTTTGGAGCTTAGTTGTTTATGTAACTTGAATTCTATGCTTATTTAACTGAATTGTGAATATTTTAATTGTGCATTATTTTTGTGCATTGTTTATTGTATTTTATCTTTGTGAACCACACAGGAGTCCCTTGGGATTGCAACTTCAATAAATCTGATTAATCAATTAATGCATCAATACATCAAATCTTGCCGAAACAAGGAACAATGCAATGTCATAAACCAATTCAAAAAGCAAAAATAGTTTAAACCAGAGTGGAAAAACGGATGGGCTTTCCACCTCTGTGCATAGGATTAGAGATCCGTGTTTATGGCCAAGATTTCCAACCACGAGCGCGCGGGGGGCTCCGGCCCCGTGCGGGGGCTGCGCGCGGACCGCCATGCACGAAGTACCTGCAGGAGCACGTGCGCGGCATGGTTCGCTCCTCGGCCCCTCGAGCTTGTAGCGACGGGTCTGTGACGGAGCGCGCGCGCGTGGAGGCAGCAAGGAAAAGGAAAAGGAAAATTCATCCTATTTATATAGCCGCCCAGAGTCACTTTCATGTGAGAAGGGCGGCTACATAAATATCACAAAAAATTAAATAAATAAAAAGGAGGAAGGAGCGGCGTGGCGCGGCGTATCCGGCTGGAGCAGGTGCGATCCCACTCTCGCCAGGAGGCAACTTTCAAGCTCCTTGAAAGGAGCAGGTTAGGCGAGGCGGGGCGAGCGGACGGGAGGGGAGGCCGCTCTTCCTTCCGTTGCTGACACCCGCAGACAGCCAACAACGAAAGAGGGAGGCGGCAGCGAAGTGGACCAGTGGGGCGCACCACGCGCGCATCTCGTCCCATCTCCAGACTCCCACTGCCGCGGCTCCTTCGCGGAATGTGCTGATCTTCTCGCTCCGAAGCGCACATGGAGCCACCTGAGCCGCTGTGGGTGAACAGGAGCTGTGCCAGCGGTGAGTGAGCGCGCTCGCTTTGCCCCCAGATTGGCTTTTGAGGAGGCTGCCTTTCCTTCCCGCTTGCATTTCTCAGATTCGGGGACGCCTTTCCCTTCCCTCCAAATCCCCCCCGGCTCCAAAGCCGGGTGTGGCGTTGCGGTCTAAAGAACCGGGGAGAAGGATCTGGGGAGAAACCTTCGCCCTTCACGACGAATCCAGAGCATAACTTCACCTGCCGTCCCTGGGAGAGATGCAGGAAGGCAAACGTGATTTCTAAAACGTCGATCAGAAAAGACATAAGGCCTCCATGCCAGCTCTTTGCCCCACTTCACCCTCCTTGCTCCCTCCCCTTCCCCTGGCTCTTTGGCACAGCTGTTTCTTCTGTGGTAAGAATGTCTTCCTTGCTTAGCAGAAGATTCCACTCACCCTTCCTCCTCCTCCCCTTCCTCCTACAAAATATAACAAGAATGAAGTGTAGAATTCAGTGTTTCTCAACCTTGGCAACTCTAAGATGTGTGGACTTCACCTCCCAGAATTCCCCAGCCAGCATGCTGATATAATTGCTGGATCAAAAGGGAGACAGATTAGCTGGGTAAGATGGCTTTTTTCATGATCTAACCACTTTCCTAATTAATTTTGCACTCAGATCTAGAATGGTTTGCACTAAGGATACTTGTGGATTTGGGGCTAAGAATTCAGCCAGGGTTTTTATTTAAATTGCTGAGGTCACAGCGAAACCACACAAGTCCCAAGACTGTGCTGTGGTTCATGGGAGGAGGGTTGCCTCCAAGCTGCTTTTGAGAACATTTTCCTGGGCATTCATGAGTAATTCTTATGGCAAAACTGGAACTCAGGCTGGTGAAATGTGGGTCACCTTTCTGTGATGCATCTGGGGGAAAACCAAGTAAGGGAAGCAAAGATCTTGGGCAGTGTTTCTCAACTCGGGCAACTTTAAGATGTGTGGACTTCAACTGGCTGGGGAATTCTGGGAGTTGAAGTCCGCACGTCTTAAAGTTGTCAAAGTTGAGAAACACTGGTCTTGGGTGATGTATAAGGAACAAACCAGCACCATAAAGCCAGTCCTGTTTGCCCTAAGCCCACAAAGTTTGTGGAACCAGAAAATCAAACCTTTTCAGAAACTGGGGTGACAAATGCAGGGGTGTGATTGACATCCTCCCACAGCCCTGCTCAGCTTTTCAGCTTCCCTTATGGAGTTTATTCTGTGTTTTGCTAAGCAAAGGATTGGGTCTGTGTATTCTGGGAGGAGATTCTTCAGGCAGTGGACCATGATAGAGTTATTAGAAGCCTGTTCCAGAAAAGTGACTTACATATTCTACAGACTGGTGCGTAATCACTTCTTCAGAGCAATAGTGTTCTCCAATCTGCTTATTAACAGCGTGATCCTTCCGCTCTTAAATAAATCTTTGCCGCTCTGTTGCTGTTGAATTCCCAATGTTGATTTAATTTGTTCTTGTAGGAGCAAAGATGACCCTTGTTTGCATAAGCTGAGTCCACTTTGTCAGAGCCTGTAGACATTTCTACTCTTCCCAGTACTATAGGGCATTTCATTGGTTTTTCTGGGGAGCGTGTCTTATTACACGTGTCTGTTTAAAAATTCACATGACTGACAGGTTTGTGTAGGTGCATTATGACATTCTCTAGTACTGTACAGTCTGCAGAAATTTAGAAGAACCACAAGTTGCTTAACAGATAAAATAACATGCAGATGAGTTGCAAAAATATACCATAATAAATTGGAATATCTGATTGCCTCTACAAAACAAGCCTTAAGTCTTCAAGGAGACAAAGGGACTCAGTTTCCTGATTTGAACAGCTTGTCTTTTTTTGCTTCTAATGGAAGAGTATTAAATGCAATTTCTCCTTTTCAAGTTTGAAAGGAAACAAGCCATTCTGCTTCTTCAACCTCACCATTTCTTTCTGGTGTGTACGTGGACTACACCTAACATTCAGTCCCTATCCCTTCAGAGGGCTTTGAACTTAATTTCTTACCACAAACTGTAGCAGAATCTGTCCTAATAAAATGTATGAGTTAACAACTCTCCATTTTCACCCTCTTCCTTTCTGATTATTTGCTTTGGAGGGTAACTATCACAGAAGAAGGAAAGGGCTAGCTACTACATGACATTAGGGCATTGTGGCTTCAGAACGAATAAGAATTCGCTTTTTGTTTCCAGGCTCACAAAGACTGTCCTGTATCAGGCAGAGTGCCAGGATCTAAACACCACCATGCCACATTTGCATTGCTGTGGATGTAATTTAGCAGCAAATTTATTTTTTTCTGTTTAATTTGGCAAAAGATAAATTTGAGCTTCCTTTATGCAGCATTCTCAGTATATTTGCTCATTTATCTCTCCTTTAGTATTTAAACAGTTCTAGCAAATTCATAGATGTAGAGCTACTAATATTTTTTTCTGTCATGATTCTGTCATTTGTATGCTTTTACAGTTTCTAATGTGTGCATATATACATTAAATGTACAGTGCATTCGGAAAGTATTCAGACCCCCTTCACTTTTTTCAATTTTGTTATGTTGCAGCCTGATACTACAATCATTCAAATTCATTTTTTTTCTCATTTATTCAGACCCCCTTCACTTTTTTCAGTTTTGTTATGTTGCAGCCTGATACTACAATCATTCAAATTCATTTTTTTTCTCATTAATCTACACTCAGTACCCCATACTGACAAAGTGAAAACAGAATCTTAGACATGTCTGTACCTCTATTAAAAAGGAAAAACTGAAATAGCACATTGGCATAAGTATTCAGACCTTTTACTCAGTACTTTGTTGAAGCACCTTTGGCAGCAATTACAGCCTTGAGTCTTTTTGGATATGACAAAATAAGGTTTGTACACCTGGATTGGGGGATTGTAGTATCAGGCTGGAACATAACAAAATTGAAAAAAGTGAAGGGGGTCTGAATACTTTCCGAATGCACTGTATATTACTCCAGAAAGCTTCATTATTAAAACCCCAAACAAACAAAAAAGCAAGGAATGAAAAACAAATGAAAGAACAAATAAGATTATTTATTTTTAAGTAGGTGGTCTTGATCCAGGGATGTCCTGTGCAAGCAAATAGACACTTCCTGTTGCTCAAAGGAGCCCTGTCAGTTTCTCCTGATGTCCTGCTCCACTACAGGACTTCTGAACATACAATCCCAAAGTGTCTATGACTTTCAGGAATGGCTTGGAAGAGGGCTGTAATGGGGGAGGAAACAGAAAAGGCTATATTGTATGAGAAAAAAATCCACACAACTCATGTCTGGATTGAAGAAAAAAAAAAAAGTTCAGCTGCCACCTGAAGGCCCACTTGGAAAACAATGAATGGCTCTGGTGTAACTATTAACCTTCCTAAATGCTGGTCACCCACTGTGCTTCAGATACTTCACATCCACTTTAAGAACTGATAATATGCGTCTCTTGTCATGAGAAGTGCTGCCTGGTAATTTATGCAGTCTTGCTGTATAAAAGAAGACAGGCTGTTGGAGAGGGGGGCAGTCCCAATAGGTGGCAATTCTAAAAAAACAATCTGCCTCAGTCTTTGTTTCTGATAGTTCGGTAGCAGGCTGTCTTGAGTTAGACATGGAATCCATAGTTCAGGCAACTGTAGATAATGGTGACACTCCTACTCCTATTTTCCTTAGAGCAGGAAGCTCTTGGCCTAGGCAATTACTGTGGTATGTACAAAGAATGAGGTATTTAAATATTTGGACAGTGTTCAGCCTTAGTCATATGTGTCTGTTCCCCAACTGTGTGAGACTATATATACAGAATAGGGCTGTGCAGGCTTTGAAAATCGTTTAGAAGAAATTATTTGGAAAAAATATATGGCTGCTTTTAAAAGCAGCATTAAAGGCTTGGCTGCCTTAATGAATCAGCTTCATTTCTTTTTTTCTGAGCCATTTATTCCACATCATTTGGAAGTTTGTACATCCAAATCATTTGGAAGTTTGTGCAACCTAATACAGAGCTTCTTCCAGAGTTAAGTGAATGTGCTCATTTAAGTGCCATGTTTGTAATAAACAGGGATTTTTAAAAGAACCAGTATCATCTGTCCATAAATTCTGAAGCTGTAATAAATTTATTAAGCATTAAAGTTCACAAAACTCTTTGATGCTTATGATAGAAATGATTTATTTGAAATCTGGGAACTAAGGATGTGTCAGTTTCCCTACTCAATGTTAAATTACAGAGCTTTGATATGTATCATTTTCTGTTTCAAAAATTAAGGTTTAGTCCTATAGTTTTTTTTCTTTGTCTTGAGAGACAGTGAGTGTGTTACAGTTCCATTTCCAAAAACTTATGCTTTTCTTTTTTTCAGATGCTTTTGTTTAAATTCCAGTATGCCTTTGCCTTAATAGTTAATTTTTAAGGGGAGTTCACGAGAATATTATCACATCAGATCTGAAATCTTGTGTGGTATAATGACAAAGAAGGGAAAGAAAAGGGCATTGATGGACAGAAGGAAGGAGGATTTTAGAAGTAGTACTTGTGTCCTAGATACTTCTTAATTATCATATGTAGGTTCTATATTTGCAGCCCTGTCCATACATTAATCAGTCCATTGTTTGAATGTATATGTCTTAAACGTGATTACAATGAATCTCTTTTTTAATTTAAATATAAGTTTTCTAATGAATAGATAATTCTGTGGGGTGCTTCATTTGTTCTATGATAGCTCTGATAACCCTATTAGAGATTTTGCTTGTTTTCTCAACTTCTGTAAGGAAGCTGTGGTTGACTATATCACAGTATTCTTTAGTGCCAAATTGAAAATGAGCTTGTATCTTGTTCTCTCCTTGTTAAATAAGAATAACATTACAGATTCAGCCCACATGTATAAGCCACTTTGAACAATATTTTGGATATTACTAAAATACAGTATACTATTTCGTACAGTCCTTTACCTGTATTTGTTAATTTTTCTGATTATATTTTTGCCTCCTCATACATGGTAGTTCTGGACTGCTAGGCTAGGCCTGGGATCATGAAGCCCACTTGGTGGGTCATTGTCTCAGAAAGTGGTGTTATCCTGGGCACAAAATGAGTTATTACAGGAAAGGTGAGATGTGAATGTAACAAGACCTCACTTCTTCACAGTAAACATGTATAGGATTATTAGAAAATGTAGGAAACAAGCTAATTGAAGTAAGATGTTATAAAATGGGATATAATAATTATTGAATGTTCACTTTTATTAAAGTGGAATTTCTGGACCTGGTTTTATTTTGCAGACACTGACTTTGTTCTTTTGAAATACACCCTTAATGACAACCTGTAGGGATTCTCATCCTTTTCTTATAATGGACACACTCTGTCATTTAATGTTTGCATACTAAAAAACAATCCTCAGCAGTTTCATCTTTCTCAATTGATTGTTCTCCATCCTGGGAAAAATACCAGCTGAAGTTTTAGTTGCTGTGCCAGAGTTACAGCATGCAGTACACAGACAAAGGAAATCTAAATATTTTGTCACTCTCATACAGCGTACACATACATATTCACACTCACAGGAGACTCACATTCAGACATAAAGGGAAAGGGGAAAGGTCCAAAACATACTGGACCCCAAGGAATTTGAGAAAACGCACCTTCATTCTCCATACATACATTCATTTGCAGCCGATTCTGGATGAGTTGTTATTGCTCTGGCTGACCTGAGGATGAGACAGTTGAGAAGAAATATTTAGCTCCTGAAAGAAAAATATAAATGTAATAAAAGTAAGTTTTTTAAATAGTTATACTCAACATGCATAAACACCAGACACTTGCACCACTACTAGGTGATGTTTCTGTGCCCCTCCCCCAGTTAAAGAAATACTTTACAAAATTAAAGTTAAAAAAGGCTGAATTTCCGCAAGTCCACATATACATCAAGTATTGCACTTTGATTTTTTTTTCATACAGAGCAGCTGATGAGAACCTGCAACACCCCCCCCCCCCCCCCAGGTATTTTTGGTGTAACCGTACCACTTCTACTTAGACATCCTAGAACTTGTGAAAAAAATATTATTT